ACCGTGCGATTCCGTTTTACACAGGTTTCACTGTAGTTAAAAAAATAGAATGCAAAAATCATTTACTAAGAAATTTCTCAAGAAAATTAAGACATTTGACAAAGGGTAAAAATGCTGGACCACTAGTTCTTCGGCAGTGTATACAGCGCAATGAATTAAGGCTTAGATTTGCTATATCGAAAGCAATTGCTCATAGAAAGAAAGAAAATAAACCGTTAGACGAAAAAGTTGAGTTATTAAAAAAAGATATTAATAACTCAATTAGTCATGTGTTTGGTGAACAAAAAGGATGCCAAAAACTTGGATATTTTTGTAAAGAAGAATATAAACCTACAGGGGGACAGTATTTAGTGTCGTAAAATTGACTGATTTATATGAAAACCGTAAATTCTTCTTAAAATTATTTAGTTAAACATGCAACTAGTCTAATATATGATCTGGACAATAATTTAGTAGAATCCTTTAATGCAATTATTACAAAATTTATTGGGAGCAAAAGGATCTACTATGGTCACAGAAGGTCTTATCGAGCAAGGTGATTTGCTGCCGTGGTAAACAAAAATACAAGAAAGCCTCAAGTTCGGCAAGACCTTCGAATTTAAAGAACGAAGGAAAATAATCAGAAAGAAAAAGCGAATACAAAAAATAAATAAAACTGATAACTGGGCAATTTTGCCAAAAGCCAGATCTTCCCGAAGAAGATTTAATAAAAGAAAACAATGATTTTTCAAACTCTTTAAAAAAAAGTGATGAAGAAATCGAATTTATTCAGCAAGAAACAATTGGCCAAAGCGACAACGATTTATGGGAGAAAAAGACTAACTGCTTCGATTTTTGGGGAAGTGTGCAATAGACGGAAATCCACAAGTTGCAAAGCATTAGTCACAAAGATTCTGTATCCTAAACCATTTTTTCAGCAGCAACTGAATGGGGGAAAGCTAAGGAACAAGAAGCAATTGAAGAATTGAAAAAAACAATGCGCAACATAAATATTGAACCTGCTGGTTTATTTATTGCTGCCACACCTGACGGCTTGGTAGGAGAAAGAGAATTGTGGAAATAAAGTGTCCATATTCGGCTAAAGATATGACCCCCTTTGAAGCCATTAAAAACTAAAAAAATTACATTTTCTCCGGATGGAGATATTAATAAAAAACATAAGTGGTTCCATCAAATTCAGGGGCAACTACATATAACGGGCAGATCATATTACATATTGGCTTGTTGGACACTTCATGGAATAAAAACTGCCACACTATTTCGAGACGACCAATTTTGGCAAAACGTCATGAATTTGTCAACTGTATTTGAGAACTGGAATCGACGGTTCTGTTTGAATCAAAACAAACCCAAATCATTATAAAAGAGTGTTAATGTGAAACAAAATAACTAAAACGTTCACTACAGTTTTAGTGTATTTTAGTTACTTTCGAATCTACCATCGTATAACAACGATCTAATTTTACATACCTATGAACGAAATCTCCAATTAGAACTTCCTCTATAAAATAAACATCTACCTACCTAAACCATTATGCCAATAACAATTTCGTTATTATAATTCTCCAGATTAGTCTATAGGTACGGCGGTCAATCAATATCACTTATTTGTTGCCCAATATGGATAGAGATAATTTCGAAATAATCGTAGCTCAACCTTGTCTATCGTTTTTTCCGTTATTCTATTAATAAAACTGAGATTTGGTTGAAGAAAAAAAAAATAGAAGTGATTCGGAGAAATAGTTCGTAGCATGTGTGGGTATTTCATACTTTTAAGTACTATAGTATAAACGGAGAATGAGAAAATTGACATGCAAATAATAGAAATAGAAAGTGAAAGATATATATTACCGAGTATGTAATAAATAAATTAATTTTGAACAAAAAGGTTATGCTAAAAATTTAAAATACTATAACAATGTTAGATCTAATATATTACGCAGATGTAGAATATAGTATCTATATACAGGGTGTCTGGGAAAATGTGGGAGGTCTCTCGGATTCAGATCGAACATTAAAAAATAAGATGACGAATTCCCATAAATTTTTTTCCTTACGGAGATACAACCTCCAAAAGGATGCCACTGGAAATCAATTTTTCTTGAATAACTTTCAAACTATGTAATATAATTTAATGAAAATTTAATATGATAAACAGTAGTAAAGCTCTATTTTTTTGTGAAGAGCACACTTCGCCATAAACCAATTTGAGTTTGTAGGCGAGGTCAGACAGATTTAAACGTGATCGAAGCCGCCTGCCGCTCATCACCGCTCATACAAGTTGAATTCAGTAGCGTAGTGTTACTTATTTGTACTTGTTTTATTTAGCTATTTTGAGTTTCTTGAGTTTTGTGCTTCGATTTTTGAGTTTCCTGAGTTTTTGTGCTTCGATTTGTGTGTATATAAACTTTAATTTGTTATATTTTTTGAATTCCTAATTAATTTTGTGTATATTTTGGTAAGTACATTTACAAAACTATAAATATTAATCTCAGAAGAAACCGAACATCCTGAAATATTTTACATACCTTCTAAAACCAGATTTTGAGATAAAATTCGTAGGTTTTATATATTTTATCACCAAGTTCTTAATATTTAAGGTATTTACGTGATATTTTTTTGTTGCTATATAGTAACTTAAACTACAGTTCTGTAGTATGAAATCAACAAAAAAGTATTACCAAAACGCGTTGTAAAATCTGCAAAATAGATTACAATGCAGACCAAAAAAGCAGATATAATTAACTGGCTCGTTAATAAACAATATAGCACATGATGCTAAAATGACCAAACCAGAACTGTACACATTAATAAAAGTTCAGACCTCCACCGAAATTTCTTTTAGACGATCTTCTCGAAGAACATGGACACAAAGTTTTACGATTACCTCCATATCATCCCGAATTAAATCCCATAGAAAAAATATGGGCCACAGTAAAAAATTGGGTGGGTCAACATAACACAACATTCAAGTTGGATAATGTTGAAAAGTTGGCAAGAGAAAAATGGTAAGAAAATGAGTTTAATTCTTCATATATATCTGTTATTACATATGAAGCATAAAACTAAAAAATAACAGATATATATGAAGAATTAAATTCATTTTCTTACCATTCCAGAGGAAGAGTTTTTTCCACATATTCAAAGTTTTCAATGGTATTTCGATACTTACCTACGATAGATATTAAGAAAATATTTTTGTCCATTTTAAATATTTAAATTATACATTGTGAAAAGCCCTATTAAAGATTAAAAAAAAAAATTACAGAACGGTCGACAGCATTAAATTCTATATTTTAAAATTTGTTTCCAATATACAGGGTGTTCAGTCTGAAACAAAATTCTTTTTTAATGGATCACTCTGTATTTTATATTATATTTGAATTACCCTTGCTTTCCTCATTATTATCATATCAAATAGTATGAGATTATACAAAGTATTTCACACGCTATCAGTTTTATATAAAAATCGTTTTAATTTAAATTGCACTAGAAGAACGGTATAGAATTTGGAAATTATTTTAGGAGGTGGTCAAACGTCAAAACATAAATCTAAATTGTTATGGATCTTTATTTTGCACTTATGTCGTTTGACCAATTTTTCCAAGTCAAAATGCCCTTTCCAAATTGTATTTTTCGAATTTTCACACTACTTAGAACTACTAAAATTATTTTAGGGGGTGGTCGAATGTCAAAACATAATTTTGAACATTTATGGGTCTTTATTATGTCCTTATGTCGATTGACTATTTTGTTGAACTAGTAATTGGATTGGGAAATATTTTTTTAAATTTTTAACCACTCTGGGGGTTTTGAGATATTTTAGGAGGCGATTGTCAAAGTTGAAATTCAACTCTTATTTTTCATAATAAAATTTACCCCTTTAAAGTATTAAAAAAAAAATGGTTAATCTTATGGTGCAGTCAGTTTTAAAAAATATTAACTTCGAGGGAGCAGCGGGCAATTAATATTTTTTTAAATATTTAGGTTTCTGAGGGTGGTCAAAAAAAGTTAATGGGTGGTCGAACATGGTCAAACGTATGCCGCTTCTAAAACTAAAATTTTCTAATTTCGGGGGGCTAGCTTCACAGAGCTGTTCCCCAATTACTTTTTACACAAAATCGTCGAAATACAAATTCAAACATGAAAACATTCAACACAATGTTTCTAATAAATTTTTCACATGCACCAAAAGCAGAATACTTGCTGGACGTTCTCACAATCACACACACAAAAAAAAACAATAGATAACTTTCTTTTTCTTTATAAATGGCAAAGCTACTACTTTCCAATAATCCAAAATCGAATAATATGACCATCCGGTTCGATGAAAACATAGCAAACAGGCTGTGGGTATGACAACGTCCTCAACTGTTTACCTTTCCTACTTGCCTTAATTGGTCCTAGTCCTATATGGAAACTTAACCGCGAATCGAAAACTAGTTATCGACTACGTTTACACAAAACAACTTCTTTGAAGTCGACAGTTAAAATATTTAAACCTTTTAGAATCAACGTACTACTTTTAAAATGTTGTTAGTTTTGGGTATTTAATATATATATAGAGAGTGCATAACTAGTGGCTTAGTCCGGCTTTAAAAAATCATTGGTTCGGCCCGGCCCGGTCCAACCCGATAACCGAGTCGGGCCAGGCCGTAGCCCGACCGAAACGGGCGATACATTGACTACAGTTCAAGCTGAAAAAGTAACATACATACAATAAAAGGTTATGTAACAAGTTATATTTTAGTTTGTTTGTTTCTGGGCTTTATTTATTTATTTATCTATATAACCTAATGCTTGTAGTGGAATTAGCCAAAGCATTAGTTATTGTCCGTATTATTTTGTGACTTATGGCTTTGAGATTTTATTTTTCTTCTTTATTTTACATTTTGGGCATATTTGAGTTTAAATTTATTTTTATTTTAAATATATCATTTTTTAAATATTTATTTAGTAGATAGTTTAAAGTTAACAAAAAACTAAACAGTTTAACTTACGTTTCGTGAAATTCCGGACTCTTCGTGTTATTCCTGAATGCTCCTGGAGGCGATAAACTGTCCGAATCCGAATAGGGACTCGTGACTAAGGAATTCGAATGTTTGTACGTCATTTTTTCGGGACTCCTTCGTATCGTGCCTTCCGTTAAACTTCTTTTCAAAGGGTCGTACCTTCTGGTGTCTTCTCTGTAGTATTCTTCCCGAAAGTCGCGTTTTATTGGCTGAATTTGTTGATTACTGTAAGAAATTTGCTTTTAATAAAAACATTTCACGTTACCCCCGTATTAATCGAAAATTATTCATGTTTGAATGAAAAAAGATGACAATCCGGTTTACCCATGCATTAAAAATGTATAAATATTATGTAAATTATATAGATTTTTATTACTTTATTAGTTGTTATAACAAAATTACATCATAGTTTAAGAAATTTTGGTGTTTGTTTATACTTCCCTCTATAAAAGGGAAATATTGTAATCGTGAAAAAGTCACCTTCCGAGATTTTCAGATTTTTAGGTTTCAGGGTCCCTAGATTATGAGAAACATGTTTCCCCATACCGTCTTTACCGACTTTATACTTCCAAACAGTTATACAGGGTGGATCGGATTTAATTTGCGTATACAGAGATCTCGTAAATCGTAAGATATACATTGCGGTTAAATGGGGAAAAAGTTTCGTATTTTGACGGATAATACAATGGTCCATAGAAGTTCCAGATTTTCTGACTGGTTCCAGAGATATTGGATAAAATCCGAAAAACCTCATTTTCATTTTTTAAGTCGCGCGTTGTTATTATAAAAGATACAAAAAAAATTATACGAAGTTTTTGTTATAAATCAAGTTCCTTGTATACGCAAATTAAATCCGGTCCACCCTGTATACAGGTTGAGCAGTTTTTGTTTTTAAAAGTCGGTAGATTTCGACTAAAACTGGTATCTGAAAATTTTAGAAGCCAAAGATTGCAGATCCTAAATAATTTTTTTAAAATTAAAAGTGACGCTAAAAGAAATAGTATTTAATTAAAAAAGAGCCCCCTTGAATGGAAATAACAAAAAATTGTCCGTTTGGATTGTGTAACTGAACCATTTTAAAAGCAGCCAATAATTATTTTTCAATAACGGCGAGAAAAACGGTTTTTGGTTTGGTGGTTTTATTTTTAAATCATTAAAATTTAAGTGCTTAGGAGTTCCCTGTTTTTACAATTCCTAAATCGAGGGGAATTCTGGGTAAAATACTTTACCATTTTTTTATTTTGGATAGGTTGTAACCAACCCAGTGTCGTCCAATATATTCCAAAATTAGTGGTTTAGCTTTTTAAACAAACGAAAACAAAAAAAAACGTGGAAAAAATTAAAACAGGTTCATAACAATCAAAAACACAATTGCTGTTCACATTACAAACGATAAAACAAAAATTCTTACCTTGTATGAATAAACACATCATCCAGAGGATCTCGCTTGCTGTAATCGTTAACTTTCGACCCGAATTCCGGATATACCTGAGCCTGGACCTTCCTCAATGTTCCATCGCTACTGATCGAGCTTTTGTACGTACTGTCGCTGCCCGGCGAACCTTTGTAGGTACTGTCGCTGCTGAGCGAGCTTTTGTAGATCCCTTCGTTGACCGAACCTTTACCGCTGGCTTTCCGGACCAGAGACGGACTCGCCAGCCGCTTGTTTTCGTTTATCATGGTGGCGTTAATACCGTAACTGAAATAAAATAGAAAATATTTCAGTGACACAAAATAGAAAAAAAAAAAACAATCATAAACATAGAGAGCTAGAGCTTTTTCAATTCATTACTAAAGTTAGGTATAAATGGTATCAGTGCTGTAAGAATGTAAATATCGATGGGTACAGCTGAGATCGTAGTAAAAATATTTTTTCCAGGGCACAAATCGTAAATTTTATTTAAAAAGTTCTAAATTAATTTTTGGAATTACCACCCCCTCTATTTTTAGGAAATATAAAACAAATTTGAAAATTTGGCTATGTATGTAGAAAAAATCGTAGATTCCAATTATTTAATTAAACAAAAATTGTAATTTCATTTTTTTAAGCCGAACTCCTATCGAAATACCTTATTCACTACACCAAGGCCACAATTTAAAGTCTATAATAATATTATATTTCGAACTTTAATACATTAATGCTTCACCCTGTAAGTGCGTTTAATTCCGAAATGACAAAAAATAGAACCTTAGTACGACTTACCTACGACAATGTTATCTAAACGCGGCACTGTAAAAAATCACAAAAACAAAACCGACACAGTCAAAAGTGCACCCTGTGCTTCCCCGTTTACGATTACGATCGACTCACCTAAAGGGCTGACTGGACTGTCGCGCGTGATACGGAATCGTTTTGTCGTCGTCGTCGTCGATAAACCGGAAGCTGTCCTCGTCTCTCGGTGTCGCCGATGACGGCTTCAGGTCCGGAATCGACTGGACGGTGAGCATCATGTCGCTGAGCAGCTCGTCCAGTTCGCGATGCTGGTCCTCCGGGGTGAGAGGGGACGGCTGGGCGGTCGGTGGGGGGCTGCCCGAGGAGGCGGTGGTGTTGGCGTTTTGCGGTTGGTGTCCTGCAACAAATAATAACAATAACGATGAAAAAGTGAGGTTCGAATTGGAGGTAACAAGTCGCGAAATGTTGGCGGTTGTTTTGATGTGCACGTGTAATTGTTTGTTAAGTAATTATCTATTTTTTTATTAGTATCTATTCAATTATTTTAATAATACGGTTTCATGATTGTTTTATATATTATAATATATGAACATTCTTTTGAGAATACATAACTATTTTCTCCACAAAGTACATAGATACGAGGTGAATCAGAATTATCTGACAATACTTTTATAACATCTAAAAGATGGTAAAGCTCGATTTTTTGTGAAGAGCACATTTCGTTATTGGGATCTGAAGATAAGCGATACGCCCTCTACTGTGAACTAAAAGTTATGCCATTTGACACTTGACCGTCTGTGTTCTGTCAAGTTTTGTTTATTGTTTATCAGGTCATTTCAATATTTTAAAATTTAACAAGTATTTTGTTTGAAATATCTTATTTAATAATAAGTTAATGCTTTAAATTTATATCATATATATTAAAATATTATTTTATTTGAACTATAAGTGGAATATCAGTGAAAAACACACTTGTTGGGTGCCTGGATGCAGCCCTAAAAAAATGGACCTTCTTTTACATTTCATTTGCTTCCTAAAGTTGGTAAATGTAGGGTAATTTTTATAAATTGCAAGTGGAAATTCTGCAAGAAATGCATGGTTACAAAAATTAAAAAATTGAGAAGCATTTTAAAGAAGATGATTTGCCTAGAGGTAATATAGATTTATTTTTCGATTTAATGTTTTTATTTTACCTTTTTTTGTGTTGTAGATGCCTCATCCAAAGTGAAAATAAATATAAAAAAAAATCGCTGTGTCTTCCTGCCAGTTTTTAAGTAAATGTTTGACGATTCTGTTCAATAAACTTCAAAATCAAATATTGAGAGAACAAAAAGAAGATCCAAACCACAGAATAAAGATTTTGTGTCCAAACTAAAAAAAGTTCAATGAGTGTTAAATGTGATAGTGAGATTAAACAAAGTCATAGTTGAGAGTGATTTGTTTCAAGATAACCTAGCTACTCACACCAAACAAGACAGATGTTGCAAATACTCTTTTTCAAGTATATTGCCATTAGTGTACAAGTGTGCATACCCCAAAAGTTAAAACAATTTCAGATCTTTTAAGAGTTGTGTTCATTCACTGGTATTAACAACTTTAACATACTGTACTAGAAAATACAGTCAAATCAGCTGAAGTACTTCGGAAGATGGCCTATTGGGTATTGTAACTCAATAAAGAACGTTTATTATTATGTAAACATTGGCATATTTTGTTAACAGGAAAAATAAAAAAATATTTGATTTTTATATTTATTGCTTATAATAATAGCCTTTTTACCAACAGAATCAACTTGACCCATGCAACGAAGACTCATTTTTGAGAGTTTTTAGTTACCTTTATTCAGCACATATATTTGCCAAAAGCTTTGATCTAAATAAGTATCGTATATCTAAATGAAGAGGTTAAGCAACCAGGAATACTACCATCAAATATAGTAAATCATTTTAGGCCATAAAATACTTTGAATACTATATTATCTTAGATTTTCTCAAAACTGGAAATAATGAGTTACTATAGTCTTCCTTGCATGTGTCGAACTATTCCATTACAGAATAATATAAAAAATGTACAAAAATACATTATCAATGTACAATCACTCATTAGAAAATGTAACTGTACACGATGACTAGTAAACTTGAGAATAAAAATAATTATTAAAAAGAGTATTCTCTCAAGTACAAAATCAATCATAAATTTCAAGCTGTACATTTTCATTTATTGTATTAAAGAAGAGATCACATGAATTACTTATGTTATTAATATCATAATTATTCACACAATATCCAAACATTACAAACATCAGTGTGTTAAAAAGGTAAGAATAAGAACACTTGCGAAGTGTCATACAATTGTTTGTAAGATAATAAATAACATGGATTAAATAATATATTATAAAAGTATTAAGACTAAAAACTAATACAAACTACAAATTAAAATTATGACTAAGTAAATTTTACATCAAAACTAACAAACAAACAAAATAGTACCTACTTGTGTTAATAGATGATTTTAAAAGAATAATTATTCTATGTTTTAAAACATCTTGTTAAATAAAATTATGGAACATTGAAATAATAATTTGATTATCAAATAGTTTATGCAAACATAAAAGTGAAGCCATAAATATTCTGCTTCCGTACCAAGGACACATAGTTTTTGTAATAATCATAAACTGATTTTAGATTTATTTGAAAATATAAAAAAGAATATCTTGTGTAGTGCCATTATTTATCGATTCTTCACAATAATCATTTGTAATTTATATTTAATCTCAATAACTAAAAACTATGCTGAAAATTAGTTTGACAGAATTGCTACTCATTTAAAATTTAAAAAAATAATGGTATCCTAATGACCAAATATTGGTGGATTTCATATCTGTACAGTGTTCATATAATGGATAAATATATTCGTTCAATGGCCTACTTTTTCGTTCTTTAATCAGTGCGTAAAATAAATAATATACATGTGGGTGTAGAACAAAATCAAACGGTATTCGATCGAATTAGCTTGATAGTTCTTTTATTATTTGAAACAGTATACACCTAAAACACTTTATTAAGACTCCTGAAATATGTTTGCACTGTCCACTGTTCCCAGCTTAAAACAAACACTGCCATTCACTAATTTTAAACATCTTGCACTGGCCTACAACAATATGGGGACCTGAATTCAATGCACTAGTTTGGAGAACAACTGCAAAAACGTGTTTATCACTAAATTCATTCTTTCCACATAAAAACTATGTGGCCCGCATTTAAAATAGCATCTTCTTTAATAACAGTCCTGGAATTTTCACCTGCATCAATATACTTCATAAGTTCTATTAAACTTAGCCTTATTTCAGACATCTCATTAAAAATAAAATAAATATATTAATATTTTATTAAAAGATAACACAGATATATCTTAAATTAACATAAATGAATGAATGTAATTTAAAAACAAAATTAATAGGGGGTTACTTACCAAATAAAAATATACCTATATTCTACTTTAACCTAAAAACTATTGAAATAAAAGTATCTAATCACTAAAAATTAACAACAACAATATGTTTTCCCTCGTGTTTTCCTTAAAATAGCACAATATAAACTAAATACTTTTTATGGGTTGTTTCTTTACAAACTCAAAAATGTAAACAATAACAAGCCATAACAATTAGTTTAAATGTTAAGTACAGACGGCGCTGCGATCTTAATTTTAGATCCCAATAGCTATGCCACATTTCGCGCAGTACGTCATAACTTTGTGGAGCTTTATTAGTTGATGGCGCTGGGCTGAAATCTGCTGCGGTAGGGGTACCTGATAACTTAGCAGTGGCGTATGTACATTAATAAAATATTTTAAATCAAATATATTAATAAGTTAATGTTAAATTTTAACTATTCGTTAGTTAAATTGCTGATGAACTTTAAATTAATAAAACAACTAAAAGTTTAAATAAATATTTTAATTTAATTTGTATAATTTTAAACATTTTCATCATCTTCCAAGTCGGAAATATTGGATTCCCACTCATCGGATGACTCCGTGTTTACACTAAATATGAGAGAATCTGTAAAATCATCCATAAGGTGTTCTCTTTGAATATATGCATCCTCATATTTCGCGGAATGGTCCACCACGTTTGCCCATTCCTCCGGCGTTATGCTTCGGAATTTTTCTCTTGCCTACTTTTCAACATTATCCAACTTGAATGTTGTGCTTTTTTGGTTTGCGTTGTAATCGATTTTTCAGATTTTACATTATGATAACTTGCATTTATAGTTTTGTAAATGTACTTACCAAAATATACACAAAATTCATTAGGAATTCAAAAAATATAACAAATTAAAGTTTATATATATACAAATTGAAGCACAAAAACTCAGGAAACTCAAAAATCGAAGCACAAAACTCAAGAAACTCAAAATAGCTAAATAAATGCTACAAGTACAAATAACTAACACTACGCTACTGAATTCAACTTGTATGAGCCTCAGAGTAATACAGAGGGGACAATAAACAATTTTTTTGTCGCCTTGATATCGCATGAAAGATTCTAATTAGAGAGAAATAGATTAATATCTCTATATTTATTTTTCCAGTTATTTTTAGACAATGTTTTAAGTTTTTACTTAAATTCGTTCAAGTATGGTGGTGTTAAAAGTGACTTTGATTTGTAAGGTTTATTTTATACTAGGAAAAGACTTGTGTTTTATGTGATTTTAAATATAAAAGAGGAAGATAACGATTAACATCGAGCAGAAAAATCATCGCAGAACGAAGAACCAGAAGCCAACCTGCTACATCTGCCGCTAGATGGAGTCACCTATTAATTAATTTATTAATCCGCAACTTACTATACTTCATTATTCGATATCACAGCAACTCAGCATACACCATTATTAATTTTATTTATTAAAGAAAAAAAGCTGAAACCGCGGGGAATCGATCCACCGACCCAGAGAGGTTTGCCGATTACCAGTCGTCATCTTTATCGCTACACCACGTAGACTTTTAAGAAATTCTTTATAATGTATACATAAAAAAAGAGATAACGCTGGTAAAAGACATCGGATGTTATTATTGGTTCTATTCAAACAGTTCAAACGGCACTACTATGAAGGAAATGTGACGTAGATTAACGTTGAAGAGAAAAAAACATGCGATTGCCAAAAAGACCTTAGCGTGTATCTTCAGTGCTATTGGTCCGATTCAAACGGAAAAAACGGCATTATGAAGAGAACGATTAACGTAGAAGAGAAAAAACATGTATAAAGCCAGAATGGCCTTAGCATGTATCTTCACTGCTATTGGTCCGATTTAAGCGGAAAAAACGGCATTATAAAGAGAACGATTAACGTCGAACAGAAAAAACATGCGATTGCCAGAAGGGCCTAAAACTTATATCTTTATTTCTATTGGTCCGATTCGAACGGGGCAAACGGCATTCAGCGTGAACTGTTATCTACCGACAATATGCTCAGTCGTCTGCATCGGAATGCTCATTCGTGCTCGCGTTGCTCATTCAGCCTGAATGTATAAGCGCCTTTACATTTAGTCGTACAATACAAATGCATCAAGTTTGCATCAAGATTTTTATTAAAAATTTACAGCTTTAAGAAATTAGTTAAATCAGAACATATTAAAAATCCCATCATTTCAGCCAATAACACTTCGTTAACGTATTAACAACCATAATCCGTCGGAAGATCAAGGAAACCCTTGTAAATCCGTTTGACATAAACGCGCTGCGTTCTGTTCGACGTTGTTATTTTCTAAACCAATTATTTCAAGGTGACACTAATTTATTGACTACCGTAATATATCAGTTGTATGTTGGGCGACACGTTCTTTAATAACAATTTTTAGTTACCTACATCGTTAATGGAGGATTAAAACGCGTCCTACGCAACGATATGCTATTTTAGATAAGTGCTTGGTTCTCGGTTTAATAATAAACAGTTAAAAGAGATATTAATTCGAAATGAATTTTAATTATAACAAAAACAGACACGACCGTAACTTTTACTTATTATTAAATTATGAAAAAAACCAAAATATCTTTAAAATGCTCTGACTCTTATTTGTGGCTTAATTTAGTTTTATGGATTATCTAAAATAATATTGTATTTATAAGCGCCACTGGGAATACTTCGTGATATTATGTGTCTTGACAATGTTGAGAGCTTTAAATTTGTGTAACGATAAAGCAGTACTTCACAGAGATTTATTAAAACAAAAAGCAGCAAATTTTCATAGATTTAAAACAGAATGGTGCATAAATTATTTTTTTTAAATTCCTTTTACAAATTTTCAAAATAAATACTTTTCGAAATCAATCGAAATCAAAATTTCTCCACCCTAAGTTTATTGGTATTTCCACAAAAATTGGACTAATAAATAAATTTGTGTTCGGTTTGTTCCTTAGAAGATATGGAAGTTTTTTTGCAACTGATCAAAATTTTAATTATCCTATGTCTAGTATCTTAATAATTCCTTAAAAATATGCTGAAATCTTACCTCTATGCTATAAAACTAAAGATATCCTATCAGAATCTAAAACTAATTATATTTCTTTCATTACGTTCGTATGGTTCTTCTATTTTAATACTGGAGGGTGGGCCATTTATTGTTTTTTTTTTATTGCTACTACAACTACACTAATTCAATATTTTTAAATGATTCTTGCTTTATTTAAAATAGGACACCTTCCGATTAGTTATCAAAATAATTTCGATTAAATTCTTACTGTGGTGCCACAGTCGATCAAGTTTAGTTGTAAATCAGGAGTGAAGAGACATGTGGCAAAATTTCAATATTATACAGAGTGGGACACAGAACAACTGAAGATTCTCTGATTAAAAATATGACGATTAAACGACGAATTTAGTAAAATTACATGAAATAAATTTTTTTTGAATTTACAATTTTAACACCCTGTATTTTGGAAAATCTTCAGTTGTTCTGTGCCCCATTATGTGGCGAGAAGTAAGGGAAGGGATAAAATAAAGGATTTCAACAAAACAATTTTAATAATGAATATATGTGTAAGTCGTTGTACGCAGATAATAAATAACGTACACAATGCACGCCCTGTTGCCACATCTAGTATAAAATAATTTACATCCAACTTAACATTTACTAGGCTTTGGAATTAATTGAAAATTTTTACATCTAATTTAGTAAAATTACATCTAATTTAGTAAAGTTTGATATAACTAATGATGTTCAGTTGAATTATTTTAGCTTATTTTTGTAAACAAAACGAGAATAATGAAATAGGCATATGAAAACAGCGAATATTATATCTCCTGTGCCCCTTAGAACATGTTTTATTCACGGACAGTACGATATTTGTTTGTAGTTACATCTTCTGTTATCTCTTCTATTCACAAAACATATTTAAATAGTTATATGTCTAAATCCTTGAAGATATATGTGTCAACATCAATTCATGGAAAAAGTGATTTATTAAACACACTTTAAATAGTTACTGTATTTAGTAAAATTCAAATAAACGAGGTTATGATTTTTAATAACATTAACAAATCAATTATTACTATTAGTTAATATTTTTCTGTAATACATTTAAGAAATTGATAGAAAAATATGGAAGAAATGCCATTTTACTAAGAATAAAATAATGAAATAACATCAAACGGTTGTAGGTGAAGAAATGAAAGAATGTATTTTCAAGTTTTAAAAATCTTTACACACTTGAAGATATCTTCTTTCGCTTCATTTCTTCAATTAAATAAGTTCTTAAAATATCGTTCAACTCTATTGGACATTCATTATAATGACGTTTCTTTCTTTAAGGTTTTACATGTAAGTAAATTTATAGCCTAGATAAACACAATGTCAAATTGTTCGCAACCCGAGCAAATTTAATGTAAATTGATCCTAATAATCGACGATGGTTATTCAAGAAACGACTTCCAAAATTGGTCAGGCTCACGAAATTCTCTTTAGAACAAAAAAAAAAAAAACAGAACCCGACCTGGACCTTCCTAAAGAATTCAATGCATACACACACGTAACCTTAACAGTCTGGCCTTGTAGGGTTGGCGATACTGACTTATTTCTCCGCTTATATGTGTCAAAGGCAAGCCGCAATCAATCAAAAATTAAAAAAAACAAAAAAAAAAACTGAAGAAAATATAATTGTGCAATTAAAATGGAACTAATGAAAGTTAATATGTAATCAGACACGCACGTAAATTTCATTAAATATATCCGTAAAATAGTGATGATTTTTTAATACGAGGACGCATCGAAAAATAATGAAACTAAATCTGTAATAGGCGTAGAAATTATAGTACACCTGATTTTAATTTTTCTGATTTTTACTTGCTCCAGAAATGAAAAAGTTGAGTTAGATTTGGAGCTCAAAATAATGGGTATAAACAAATGATACATCAGAAATTTAAATAAAAAAAAAATTGTAAATACAATAGCTGGAATCATAGTTTTAGTACAGGTAATATGAGAAGATTGGAATTATATTGCATTCTGAAAATAAGTAAACTATATAATGAAAAATGAGTGACTCACCTGCTGATGAAATGCCACTGTCCATCGACACTGTCAATGGACTGGAAACGGCCCCCGGCGACAGTTCAGGCTTTTTGGCGATTGTTGCGTAGATACTGCCGTCTAAAGGTCCGAAGGTATGGTTTACGTCTTCTGAAACAAAAAATATAACGTTATTATATTATTCAATTAAAATGATTATCAATTGAAAAGTGATCAAATTGAATCTTCTCACTTAAAACATCCACAAACTAACACTGACATATGTGAAAAACGGACATTAACATAGATTTAATATTATAGAAATTAACTTTCTGAATATAACTAAAGAATAGATAAAATAAGAAGTGAAATCTTCATAGAACAATTAAAAACGGTACAAGGAAGTGAATTAAGTTGATAAACAAATAGTAAATGAGGCAAAATAATTGGAAAAGGAGAAGATAGAAACTAAGAAAATAATGAATGGAAGAAATATGATTAACAGAAGATATGAAAGCGAAAAGAAAAATTAATCTCAACACAGCAAAAGGTAGAAATGTTTAGGAATAATTCTATGGTATTAGGAGCATGTTCGTGTGAAAATCTTGGATAAACTATGACAAAATATTCATGTACTTAAAGTGACAGGGACAGGAAGAGAAATCCAAAATTGAATAATCAAGGCAATATAGCTAAAAGGTAAGTAGAAATAGTGTAATAAGTAAGTAATTATATACATTTTCTATAATAAGCACTCTCGTTATCAGGAATGCTATAATTTGCAAGTTGTGAAAAACGTTTTTGCTTTAATAACAAACTGTAATTATTTTTTTGTATTGAAATTATTTTATTTATCTTTAATAAAATTAATATGACAAACTATTGGCCAACTCTTCTTCATTAAGGATTTACATGTAGATAAGTATTTAAAAATACGAATACGACAACATGGTAAACTGGGGAGAATATGATGTAATAAGTGCTTCCAAAAATAATTACAAACAATGCAAGTAAACTGTGTCTTAAGTTTTAAAATGCGAAAATTATTTTCATCCGAGTTGTGCTAAAAATTATGCAACAAAACTTTCGTACAAATTTTTCTTAGTATGTGGCAATACTGAATCAATGAAGTAACTACTGAGTCAGCAAAAAACGGAAAATGAAAAACGAATCTATAGATCTTGTAGCCTAATGGAAATATCGGTAATATGGATGTTAAGAAAAAAAAAATGAAACAAATCCTATGGTCAAAGAACTTGAAAATTAAATTTAGTTAAAAAAATAACTTCAATAATAAAAACTAAATAGAAAACGATGTTTTTTGAACCACCAGTACACTAATCACTGAACTATGAACTATTTTTCTTCTTCTACGAAATAACCAAATTCCAGTAAACTCGTTTTTATATAAAGACTTTGAAAAAAATCTTCAATAATATACGTAATATAACTGGAACTATTAAAATGTCAAATTTCTAATTAAACAAATTTTATATTCGCATAAAATATTTAATTGGGAACCAATTTATGCGATATCAATTAATTATTTGTAATTCGATAAAATTTGTAAACAAAATTAAAACGATATCTTATTAATTATAACAGGTTAGTTAGAAACAGTTGAAGCCAGTTCTGCTATTTTGCACTGAAATGTTAATGAATCTTTTTGAGCTTCGTTCGTTTTTTCGCCTTTATAAAAATGGCGAATTTTTATCATCAGACGGTCCATGAGTAGGAAAAATAAAACTTACATTTTTAATTTGTCAAACGTTAAAAGAATGGTACAACATTTTAAAAATCATTGTATATTATTTCAAGCACCGTAGATTCAAAGTTTGGATTCATAAATGATATTAAAATAAAAGAAAAAAATATGAAAATGGAATTCTCAGGGATTAATTGTGTAACTCTATTTCTAATAACCATCAACAAAATCGTGAATTGCTGTAAATTCAGTTGTTGCAAAGTACGTTACAAAAAGGTATAAATAATTTGGAAAACTGGTCTGAAAATACTGGCTTACAATTTTCCCCAAAAGAAATATAGTTTTCTTAATATAGACTGTTCACATAAAATATTTGAATCTCTACCATCCTCTTGACAATAACCGTTAGAGTTAGTAATTAATCCCCATGGACTGTTCCTTTGTCATCCTGTTACACTAGCTTCTGACAGACGAAGGAATAATTGCAGCATTTACAACTTTCACAGATATTTTTTATTTAAATTACCACCCGATTCAACCAAAAAAAGGAAGCCACAGTCTTGTCTAGTTGTAACACATTCCCCCTCACAAGATACACTTTTAGCACTAAAAGACAGATTACTCTATTCAGCCCATTCAAAAGAGTTGAAAGGAATCCACCAAAACGATACGAAACTTTTTATGGGCTTCATCACATACAGGAATTGAGGGAAATGAAATAGCAGACAACTTAGCCAAAATATCTATATATCTATCCGGTAATTAACGCTGTTGCTAGGTACATGCTAAAGTGTACACAAATCAAAAAATTATATACACGCGAAACGTCATATTGCTGTGGTGGGAGGTGTTTGTGTGAATGCATCTTGTTTGTTTTCATTTACGCCGTGACTAGCAGTAGTACTTTATAAACCTTAGAAGCAAATTTCACATACATGAACAAATAATAATAATGCCGTGACAACAAGAAAACGAAGCAACGACTTCTCGTAGGGTGGCGGCTTCGCAGCCATCAGAAAATTTCTATCTATACCTAGCTACGTCGACCGGCATAAACACCAACGGCCTAGACACAGCTCACCTACTCTGTCAAGACGTTTCGCGTGTGTATAACTTTTTGAATTGCGTACAAGTTAGCGTGTACCTAGACACTGTGGGTAATTAACACTAGGATTTTCTAGATAGTTGGTTTCATCTGATATTGGATGGGTTTCTATGAATAATATAATTTAAGTGTACGAATAGCCTATAATGTTTTCTATTTAGTTTATCCTTTAACAACGCGTCGATCTATGTCTAGTGTATGAGTACACCCGACACACGCTTTATGATGTTGTACATTCGTTAACATTGGTAACATTAGATGGTAATAAGTAAAAATGAAGTAGAACGATTCTATATTGAAAAAAGTGACTTGCAAACTTCTAAACTCTATTTTTTATCATCCCACGAACTTTACAATCTCCACAATACATTTAAAATTAGGTCGATTTTGACGTAATCAGGGACAAACGTACCATAATGAAATTCCACACTGTCGTCTAATTTATTTTACTGAATAATCACCATAATAACCAGTAAAAGGTAAAATGTAATATATAAAACCGCAAGATATGAATAATGGTTCGGTTTCACTCATTAAATACATTTTCTTGACTTGGTATTGGATTTTAACCGGAATGACATTGATTTGTAGTGTTCCCTGCACATATGAATCACTATTTTAAATAATAAATGATAATGTTCGAATCAATTCAAGATACAATCAATTCGCATCCTTAAGCGGCCTATTAGGTCAGTTGGGTGAATGCCAAATTGGTTACTGTTTAATAATAATACGTTTTTCGGTCAAATACTGATTATCCAGTGCAATCCATTCTTCTTTTTTACGATTTAAGTTATTTTTGTATTAGACAGTGTTCAAATTAGAAACATTTTCTGAAGGTGTAATAAACCTATCATAAAGTGGAATCGTTCACATCTAACTTTGTTATCGTATAATATTTATATAGCAACAGCAAAATCGTATGCAAGAAGCAACAAAGTTAATATAATACGGATGATATGGTATTAAAAAAAATAAGAAAACCAGAAAGGTGAATCGCTTCGCTAAATTCTATTTATCAAAGCAAAAAAGAAAGAACAAAGTAACAGCACAGGGACACTATACAAAAATTCATTAATCTACCAACCAAAAAAAGCTAAAATTAAACCTGTAGAGTTTGCGAAGAAGTAAATTAAATTGCAAAATACATACTGTTTTTTTGAATAGACATGTTAACCTTCAAGAATGTACAGCAGATTTTTTAGATAACTTGGGTATAAATTAGACATAAAAGTAATTCACAAAAGATATCTTTAGGTCAAGACTTGCGAATGTCTTAACCACTTCTAAGTAATCTCAAATCTACAATGATTTATGCGATCTTTACAGCGCCGCATGTTAGATCGTATGTCAAAGATTAACTGACAATTTTTTTTTAAAGAAGTTTGTTGGGCATGTAAGTCATGTACCACAGCGATAATACAACACTGATAATTCAACACTGATTAATAACAAAACTAAATTAATCCAATAGACGAGTCTAGGGCCATAACGCAGGAGCTCGTAACTGAAATTGAATTCATGTAATAATAATAATTCATAATTGGGCATTTTTTTATGTTTTATAACAAGGCTAGGCTTAAAAACGAAAATGGGCTTCTTCGTATTTTGTCCAATATTTCCAGAAGTAGCTATTACAATTAATCTTCCTTAAGGTAAGTCAGAGTAAGAAAAGGTGATTTTCTGAATAATTGTTTATGTAAACATTATAAACGTAATTATTAAAAAGTTCTTTTGCTGATCCACTGGTCATACCATTTGACAAATTAATTCTAACGAACAACGATTTATTCATAAAGAGTAACATTGCAATCTGGTTGTATGTTCTATTTTTATAATAATTTACATTGAAATCCAAAAAACCAGAAGAATCATCAAGAGTCGCTCGACTTTCTAATGATGTGTTCTCTACGTCTATATTCTGCTTATTACCTCAAACAGTAGGACCAATAAAGACAAGATAATATTTTTTTTGTCTTAATAAAATCGCAAATCGCTCGATTGCTTTTAAGTACCGCTCAGAACTTTAAGAGGAAAGATCCTACTGCATATAATTTTTATAAAATACACAAAAAATCGAATTATTTTTTTATTATTTTAAAAACATTTATTAGTCAAAGAAAACTAATAATTTTTTATTCAGAAAGGATAACACACATTCATCCGTGTATAAATCCATAGAAACAGAAAAATTATCAAGAATCGCTTGACTTCCTAATGATCTATATTTATGTAAGAATAGTAAACGTCTATTCTGCGTAATTCATAAAGTAGGAACATAAAAGATAAAGTTAAATGAGTGTTTCGTCTCAAGTGAAATCGCTCGATTTCCTCTTATAAAATAGCACCCGGTATTTTAAA